AATCATCATGCCCAAAATCTAATACGAGCTACATGTTGACGTGGCCCACAGTCCACACATCCTGAAAATTTCACGGCCGTATGTCAACAGACGCCGCCGCAATAAGCGCTACAAGGGCGATACGTTGCACACGGCGCGGCGGCGGCGGCGGGGTAGGGGAGAACGGGGTCATTTGGCCGCCCGGGTCACTTTGGCCGCCCCATGTCTACGCGTTTTGACAGTCCCGAGCGATTATTTTTTAATACGGCACCATCCGCCGTCATAAGAACTATTTTGGACGGAAACTAAGGAAACCCGGTCACGCCCAGTTTTTTGTAAAGCCAACGATATTCGAATTTTCGCTTAAAAAAAACTAACTTTTACTTCTTCACGAAAAGTTGCATGGGGTGCCTTATTTGAGTGACATCAAAATTTTAACTATATGGGAGAAAAATCTGGTAATTCAGGGAGCTGTCTGGCCCTTTTGCAAATTTAGGTAACAATTTTTGCTTGTCTGCGGACCCCTTTTCCTAAAAATGTCATATTGGGGCAAATTGGCCGCCCCATACGGGGCGAATTGGCCGCCCAGCGACTGGGTTGATTTTTTGCCTAGTCTGCAAGCGACGCGCTGCGCTGGCTAAGTTCTACCGCTGAGGATAGTAATGCGGCGCATTCTAAATGCAAGGGGCGACCAAACCAAGGTGTCCGCTGATTGGATCCCGGCACCAGGGCACGCGAGGCCGGGTCGGAGCAGCGTCAACGTTCGAAAAGCCGGCCGGAAGAAAGGGCGTTCTAAAATCATGACCAGCAGCCTGGAGCGGACGGCTTTGGAGGACGAGCAACAGGCACGTATGGCGAGGGGCAAAAAGCGGGGTCCACAAGCTGGACCGTTGAACCATCGAACGTCGGGAGCTGGACCGTCGAAGAAACGGGGGCGCAAAGGTGAAAAACAGTGAAGCGCAATGATGACTGGGCATGTGTCCATGCCGTCGGTACCGTATTTTACAGCGGACGTGTTTTAGTGCTGGGTCGAAGACGGGGCCTGCTGGAATCTTTTTTTATTTTATGTTCACGACAGAGTTTGAAATAAACAACCAACTTGTGTGCAAATGTTGCAGTGCGATTGTCGTCTAAAGCAATCTACGATTTGGCAGCCATAACGGTTGGCTGGTGTTAGGTATCACTGGGTTGAGTTTACGACTCAACTCATGAGTCGTAAACTCGTAAATCAAATGTGGTTCCTCACTTGCACTGATTCAAATGAATCGATTCTAAGCCTACTCCGTTGAAAAAAGTAAGGATTTCAGGCGAAACAAAGATGAGTCACGATGCTTATCATTTGAGTCAGCATTGGAGCATCTACTATGCATTTCAGACCCCATGAGACCCTGCTTTTCGGCGATAATTTCTTCAATTTTTGTCCAATTAGCTTGAAATTTTGGCAGACGATATTTCAGCTCAAGCGCCAATTTTTGTCAATATGGTCTCTTAACCCTCGCACGATCAGGCCATTTCTCATAACACGAACGACCAGGGGGGGGGGTTGTTACGACCCCCCCTGGCGTTTCGAAACGGAAGGTCGTAGAGCTTAGCGGAAAAAAAACAACGGATTGCTCTCAACGAGATCTCGCGATTGGTGGTATATTTTTTGGTCCTAGGGTCAACATTTGACCTACTTTTGACCGGTCAAAGGTCAAATTTTCGGAAAAATAGACTTTTTTCAATTTTCGGCGGCGATTGCGGCAAAACGGTGGGAGATATCGACTTGAAACCTTCACTATCGTGTTCCTTGATCAATTCTCTATCGTTTGGTATGTATTTCGTTTCCCTAGCTCTAAAAATGGCGCGTTGGGAGCGCCGGAAGTCGGCAAGGTCACAGTCGGCGGCAGAAATTCGAAAAATCAAAATTTAAATTTTTGAAATCTGATTGTATTTTTTGGATTTGGGAGGTCCATTTGCTCCCTATAGAAGCTAATATTGCTGCATATTCCCATTGAGGTGACAAGAATTAGCAAAATAGTGGTTCGGGCGCTTTTCAAAAATAGTACCGGACGCTGTTCCTCTTGTGACGTCATAGCTCCGTGACCTGACCTGACCCGGTCAAGTTTCTTATACCATATGATAGCCAATACTTGCCCCAACATGCATGGGAAGTTTCATCACGATCCATCAACCGATGTCCGTACCACCGGCAGGAAACCTCGGGCGTTGGCACTCAGTTTGTGAAAATCTGGCCGGAGGCTGTACCTCTTATGACGTCATAACTCCGTGACCTGACATGACCCGATCAATTTTTTTTCGGCAAAAGATGCGCAAAGGTTGCCCCAGAGGGTATTGAAAATTTCAGCCCGCTACGACAAGCCGTTTAGCGTGCACTTCGAAAAAACCTCAGGGGGGGGGGGGTTGATACAACCCCCCCCCCCTAGGCGTTCTAGGGTTAACAAAATATCAAAATTTAGAGCACTTGTCGTTGGCTCGTAATGTTAATCAGTTTTTGCACCCGGATAGAGGCTCGCTCGCTACTGCACCTGATTGGATAGGAGCGCTGGCCAATCACGTTGCGCCGGGCCCAACTAAACTCCGCCCACTCACTGGCCGTGACCGCGATGCGTCTATGCCGCTTCAGTCGGTGTCAGCACCGCGGAGAGGTCGGACTTCGGAGCGGGACCACATACTGGAGACAAGTGAAGCTGGCGGGACGAAAGCCAAAAAATTATCAGTTTGAGGGCATTTGGTATCCTCTTTACCTTATTTTGGTATTTAAACGTCGAACCAGCTAAGAATATTCAGAATGATCAGAATCAAGGTAGGATCTATTGGAACGGAACCGGCCGTAGAAGGAAAGATGGATAGACTCTTGGACTCTGAACATTTATTTAAGCCGGAGTTGCACCTATCTCATCGTCAGGTTGGGTCAGGTCACTACCCAATTACCTATAAGATCATGTGTAAGCCTCTGCTTGGCCCAAAAATATTTATATATTTGGCAGTGCCAATAAATGTTTCTGAGGAAGGCGCAGAAAGCAACAAAGTAGGATGAAGAGTCTCGGGCACGGCCGATTGCCTGGGGCATCGCTCCAGCGAAACGACCGTATTCGTGATTCGTGAAGCGGTGCGGGGCGCCGGGTGGGGCAGAAGCGTTATGTGTCGTATGGTAGAAATGGCCTTTATCGCGGTGTCATGTGTGTGTTATATTGTTAAAACGTGCACAAAAAGAAATAGCAATGTGGCAGGCGGACGTTGGGCACTACACGAGAACGATCATCAATAAACTCGTATCTTTTTTTGTAAAACTTAAGACTAGGTATGTCCTCAATGGTGAGGAAACTATCTCTAGGCTTTTACTTTTCATGTTTGCATTTCAACACACAAGCTCTGGGGCAAAGTTAGTCTGGCGACCTCCTCAACCTAAGTCGATGATCAAATGGATTAGTCCTGAAGGTGTTCAATGCTTAGTTGCACCGGGATGATATAAATCGATCACGCCGGCATACATTCCTAATCAAATTTCATATATCAAACACATAAATTGCATCATGTTAATGGTGATTCTGTTTTGCAATTTTGACGTAGTCTGATGCGATTCATAATCTTACGCAATCATTTGAAATCAACAGCGTCTTCTATGCGCGTTTTTCACAAGCCCCGAATCTTGTGTGGAAATATATATGTTTTGTGACTGAACAAGGTGTGCGTACATTTGTGATAGATATAATAAGTCGAGGGCTTCAGCTGGTGCGTTACTTATGCGCGCTATTTAGCTCATTCGATGAAATTACGGCTGCAACGACAACTGCACGGCAGCTATGGTCCATGCGAGCCGCCCCGGTGCGACAGCTACTGGCCCGCCCGCTCCATGCAGCCGACTGACCGGCCAAGGTCACTACTCCGTCCGCCGGGAGGGCGGAGCTTAATGTCACGTGTTTGTGACGTCACACCTACGCACGGATAGCCTCTACTCCACTGACGGATTTACGGAGCCGATTTTAACATTACGAGGCAACGACAAGTACCCTAAAATTTGATATTTTGTTAAGAGACCATATTGGCGAAAATTGGCGCTTGAGCTGAAATGTGTATTGTGAAAATTTGAAGGAAATTGGACAAATAGTAAATAAATTATCGCCGAAAATTAGGGTCTCATGGGGTCTGAAAAGCATAGTAGATCGTCACATCAGTCATGAGTCGAGTTAATCCAGAATTCATGAATTAAGCACAATATTGGGCGTCAATCTTTCAGGTTGTCTCAGTTCTGTAATGGGTATCTCTCTGAATCACATGTCCGGCCAAATGACCCCACCCTCCCGGCCAAATGACCCAGGTACCGGGGTTATTTGGCCGCCGTGCAGTCTTTGAAAGAACGATTAATTACTGCCGAAACGAAATGTCCCGGCATGCTGTAAGTAATAGTCCGGCACAACAATTGAACGACCCACACCCATCCATGGAGAAATCGACCAAACGCGCGCTGGTTTTCTCAAAATATCGTTTTTACAAAAGGGCTTTTTTTTGCTCGGTCGGCCTAAAGCCATTCCCGAGCAGGGGGCAGTTACTCCGGCAATTTTCGCCGGAAAGCAATTGTTACGTTAAGCCGGTTTATGTGAACCCGGTACCAGGGCGGCCAAATCGCCCCGTTCTCCCCTACCTACTTTTTAGGATTTATAATGTAGACTTGTTCAATTTGTCATTTACTCCTGATTCTCACAAGCAATCGTGATTTATAACTGAAGTGTCTAGCTTAGACCATTTACAAGCATAACAAATTGCAGAACCTTTATTTTTCAATCTCTTATGTTTTAGGAATTTGACTTGGAAGACCCTTAAACCATGCCAGGCTCAGCAATGACAGCCATACTCTGCATACCTACTGGAGTGTCTGTCAGATGATGTATATTTTCATAAGATTATATCTTTGCACAACCTGTCAATATGTGGATTACAAGCTATTAAAATGTTTCGAACCATGTAGTATTTTTGGTAGAGCAGCACATGATTCTGTCAGTCCCGTCACCCTCGCCCAGAGCCGTCGCTGATGGGGCGGCCCTGTTTGAGCTACGTGATTGTGTTGGACAGGTCGTCTCCGGACGAGTTCGGCCGCGAGTCGGCCTCCAAACGCTCCCGCAGCGCCTCGCTCGAGGACGACGCGTGCGGCCGGTCGTCACACACGTCGAAGAAGAAGAAGCACCACCAACGCTCCCAGAGTCACAAACATAAGCACTCCAGCAGCAAACACAAGTGAGGAGTACCGGCCGTGCCAGTGTGATGTGTGAATGTGGTGCTTTGTGTGATACCTTACCTTTTTCACATTTATTTCGTTCATATACGCATACATGATGTATAGGTACACTTGCATCGTGTATCACATGTCACTAAGGTATGCACATATTGCACATATTGGGCATGTGCCAATGCGAGCGCAACAAACGCTCACAAACCCCGCTCCGCCCCGCATCGCCCCGCGAATTCCACATGTGTGTACGCCTACGTACATACGTGCACAATGCACATACCCGTTCTCGCTGGGGCGATGTCCCAGGCCGCCGGCCGGGCCCGCGACCCGTCACCCTGATGGGTGGCAAGCCGCGCGCCCGGCCGGCCGGCCGACCTTTAACTGACACTCTAAGGTGTTGGCGGAAGTTTGTACACCCTACAAACTCCCTTAACAAATGAAGTATACGCTTCACATGGGTGTTTTAAGAGTGTCTTGGGGGTGTATGGCACTCAAAATACCCACACCCTAAGAATTATTTAGAAGTTATACAAAGATCTGTGTGGTACTTACATAAGCAGAACGTATAATCGCATACTCCCTGTGCCATATACCTACACCTTTACAACTGTAATAAGGGTGTCAGACACCCCGAAAATTTCCGACGGGTATTTTACTTTTTCAGTTGCATTATGAAGACAAGCTGACCTGTTGATCACTCGCCTGTGCATTTGTGCATAGGTCGTGGATTGCCTTACGGTGACGGCTCTTCGCTCATTTTCAGGAAACACAAGCGAGACCGGGACAGACGTGACCGCGACCGGGATCACTCGCGGTCGTTGGTGTCCCCGCGGCACAGTGACGGAGAGAGGGTCAGCTCGTCCGCCCCGGTGCCGCCGCCACCGCCGGCCGTGTCGAACGGCGCGCCGCTCCCCGTGACGCCTCCGGCGCCGGTGAGCCGTCCGGTGGAGGTAGAGGACTCGTCGGACGATGAGGCACGCCGGCGACGCCCGTCCATACCGCTCAGCCATGAGGACACCATTGACGCCATGGTGCGGTTGAGTATTATTTAAGTCTGAAACAGACTCTTTCCGCAGTCAGGAAATCGCATGCGAGAGCCTATTCAAATACATGGAAGCACGCTCGCATCAATCGCACGCACCTCCCGCAAGCGATTGATGCGAGAAGAATTACAATGTATTTGAATAGGCTCTCGCATGCGATTTCCTGAACGCGGAAAGAGTCTGTTTCAGCCTTTACAGAGCTGGGCATTGTGCAACTTCAGTCCGCAACTCCGCAACTCCGCAACTTGTGGACTACCCTCTTAGTAGTGGAGTTAGGATCGGCTACCGAGCCCAAAAAAGTTGCGGAGTTGCGAGTTGCAGAAGCGAAAAATTATAAAGCGCAACCGCTGCCGGGGCCGCCACCGATATACACCGATGTACGGGATTGAAGCGAGATACAGGTTACAGGACAAGTTCGTCGTGTTTATCTCGCTAAGACTAATCAATTGATATGCCTATGACCTTTTTGGGTCAGGTCATGACGTGACGCCCCCTTGAGGGATAGCGCCCCCTATAAGTTTTTCCGCACCGTTTTTTTTTTAGAGTGGTTACGCCCCTGAGGGTTAGATTAGGTTAGGTGGGCTAGATTATATTAGATTAGGTAAGGTTAGGTTAGGTTGGGTTGAGTTAGGTTATGTTTGGTTTGGTTGGGTAGACCATGTAATCCCTGGACATTATGAACTCTGGCCCATTAAAGGCACCGGCCATTTTGAACACTGGACAAATCGTGCCTTGGACATTATGAACCACTGGCCATTTCGAGCACTGGACACATCATGCCCTGGACATTATGAACCCTGGCCGTCTCCAGCGGCTCTGAGTGGTTAGCTTTGCTCCGCTGACCAAGCAGCTTCTCTGAACTTTTTTTGCACCTTCGTTGCCAGATGGATCTGGTGAAGTTGGAACAATCTAATAGATACCTATCAGAGCTTGAAATTAATATATTTTACACAACATTTTGCTTAAAAGTAAGAAAAGTCCGTGAATGCATCCTTTTTAAATTTGATGAAGGAAAAATACATAATTTCAATCGAATCTGTGCACCTTTAGAGGAGATTGAGATTAGGTGCAGCTTTGGTCAAATAAGGCGCATTTGCCAGATAGCCCGTCGTGAAAACGGCTATTATAGACTTGACAGAAGACATACGTTTGAGTGGACCCCTTTCATCGTGTTACTGGCGTCTCATGACCCGGGCCAGCTGCCCTGTGTCCGTCCCGCGGCTCCTCCTCTCACTCCCTGACCTGCGGATGTGCCGCTCTGCAGGACATGCCGCACGTGTACCAGCCGGCGGCGCTCAACAGTTTCGTCAGCTCGCCCATGTACGCGCCGCTGGAGAGTCTGCCCAGCCAGCAGCTGCCGGCCGTCAACCTGCCCAAGGACGCTGTCTACAAGCCGAGCAGGGACTACGTCCCCGTTCAACCGCAACCCGTCAAGATGGCGTCTACCGGGTCAGTGCCGGTCCTGAGTCCTCTTTGCTGGTGACGGCACGCTAGGCTATAGTCTGGCAAACTCAAGAAAGAACAGATTTAAAGCGCATCCGCAATTGATGCACGTGCCATTATAGTGCCTCAAATATAGGCGAGAACATTTCTTCGACGACTTTTCACACAAATTTTCTCCGAACCATACATGGATTACTAGTGAGCAAACACGTGCAAAGTGATTCAGGCACTTAAACCCGCGCTCCGCTGGGGAGGGGGTAGAATCTGCCCCTCCCGTTTTGCGCCAATAACTTCTAAACGCGTTACGCCAGCGACGTCAAACTTTCAGTGCCTTATCATACATCAATTTCCTGAAAATTCCTGAAAATTTGAGCGAAATCCGTCGGAAATTTTTTGAGAAAGTGACGTTTTAGTGACGTCATGTCCGCCATTTTCGCCTCAAAAACGGCAAACTTTCAAACGCCACTATCATCTTCATTTTTAAAGGAATCAAGAAGTAACAAAAAAGGTTATACGTGATTTTAGTTTGTCTATCAAATGGCTATCTCGATTTTTTGAACATTTTGGATTTTGGCCCATTTTTTCAAAAAACTTGCTTTTTTCGGAAAATAATTATAAAATCCAAAATGTTGAGTGTATCAACAAAAAATGAAACATTTGTCAGGGAAATGGTGTATGTGCACCTACATACCAATTTTTAGAAGAATCCGTTCAAAAATGTGGGAGTTATTCAATATTTTGTGACGTCACGACACACAATTTTTTTGGAAAAAAAGATTTTTTTTTAATTTCTAGACCTCGCACGGAAACAAAAATAGCACCTTTGATTCGCCGTGAAAAGCTGCATCAGATACACCTTTTTAGGCCTTAACCCTCGCCCGCACATGCCACTTTCCCATCCTAGAACGCACATGGGGGGGGGGGTTGCCACCCCCCCTCCACGCGCCATTTCGTTCCTGTTGGAGATAGAGCTTCGCGGTAAAGACCAAAAAGATTCTTTGGGAAGAGACGAATCAAATGATACCCAGTTTTACCTTGTCAGGTCAGTGTCATTGACCTTCCAGGTCAGGTCAAACTAAAAATGTTGCTGTTTTGGGTCACCGTTGGATATCAAGTGCGCTGCTTATCATATACCGATGACGATGCCGTTTTCTGGTGCCAAGCCAGCTAGAACCTCTTTGTCACACTACCCGACCAGATTTTTGCTGCTGAGGTCATTTCAGGTCAAGTTAGGTCAAGGTCAATTATATGTGTTTGTATGTCTGTGTGTGTCTGTGCATACTGATGTGTGTGCACCGAGTGTTTATGTGTCCATATTACATGAAATCATGATCTGAGAAGCTTTTACCAAAAATGCAGTCAAAAAACTTCACGAAAAGTAAATTCATCTTGCCTAAAACACACTTATTTTAGATGACCTAGGTTGACCTTGACCCTGACCTTGACATCTGTACATCGTCGAACAACATGTCCCATGATAGGTGGGAGGTAAGACAGGCAAAAAAGGCCGAAATCAAGGTGTCAAAAAGCTCACAAGGCCCATAGCCAACGCAACATGTTGAGAATTGGTCATTTGGGTCATGACATGACCTGAAAAGCAAGGTCATATCTCCGAAACCAAAAACCACGGAAACTTGAAATTTTCAGTGGACATCAAGCAAGGATAGAGGAGCAGCTATACGAAAAATCAGGCTTCTAGCTCTAAAAATGTTGAGTGCAGAGCAGAAAGACTACCTGGGGGGTGGCAACCATCCCCCCAATGTGCGGGCGAGGGTTAACACTTAACAACCGACTTCAAAATTTGACCTCACTTGACCTGACTTTAACCTGACCTCGACCTGAAATTCATCCAGATGTGGTCCATATCACTTATTGAGTGTGCCTATTGAATTCTATGAATAAAATGACCCATAAAACATGTGTCGCAAATGCCCTTTTCTATATTTTGTTTTTGGTGACCTGACCTGACCTTGACCTTGACCTTTGCATGATATTGTATGCAACGGATATTGTCTTGGTAGCCTAAGAACACGTTTTGGGCAATCAGTCTCAGTCCATTCTTCGGCAGCTACGGTGCAAGGTTGATACTGTAGAAACTTGCATTTTGTACCCTTGACCTGACCTTGACCTGACCTTTGACCTACTTAAGCAAAAAAATGGGTTCTTAAGATCCGTCTTGTTGGAGCTTTCGATTGCCGTTTTCCCCGTCTTTCTACGACCATCGGTTCGGAAGTTAGACAGGGGGCAGAATCTGCCCCCCCTCCTCCCCCCAGCAGGGCGCGTATGGCTGAATAGCCCAGCGGGGCGCGGGATTCACGCGACCTTTACACCACCTGGCGATGATCTTGCCGTCACAGAGATGCGTTTCTAGAATAATAGATGGCAATAGCGCTGATCGCCAGTTTGTTGTCATAGGACACCTGGGGCGTCGTTCAACGACAGATCGACCAAAAAAAATCGCGAAATAACACCCTAACTCCCATATTTTGAGGAAATTTCGTCTATAAGGTTATCTTGCCCGGCGATTCGTGTTGTGACATTTTCAATCTCATTCGTCGAATACTTTGGCAGATATTGCCCCAGGCAACTTAATGGCTACCATAAAAACTCAAGTTTCATCGGCAGATATTTAGCTAAATACCCATTCGATTTATATAAAACTGCATATCATCACAATTAGAAATAACCAAAGATTTTCGTGGTATCAATTATTTTTGAACATTTTGTTTTGTAATTTTTTAACAAAAATAATTTATAAAAAATCAAATTTTGAGAACGTGGCCATCTTTTTTACAATTTATTTTTGCAGCAAAAGTCTAGCCAACGCATTGACTTTCAATGGTGAAAATATTAAAAATATGTTTTCCGCTAAAGGTCGCTATACAACATTGAATTTCGTCGAACAGTAGAAAAAATAACAATGGCCCCGTTTAGGTACATAGGGCTAGTTGCCAGATAGTGAAATACCGATACCAAGACATTTATTCCACTAACGAGACATTTCAGGCACATTCCGCTAGTTCTGACGACTTATCCAGCCTACTGGCCGGATATGGAATAAATGTCTCGGTAACGGAATTCCACTATCTGGCAACTAGCCCTATGTAAACGGGGCTATTAACTGTCAACCGGTCTGAACGGAGTACGGTCAAATGTGTTCAAGAGCTCATTGCAACACTGTTAATTTTTTATAGATGCTTAAAGTGACCATCCCACCTTAACATTAGTTTTGAGTTGAGATAGCCAAAGTGGTGGCCATGGCCATTGGCCTGCAAATACTGGTATGGGCACTCACATCGAAAAATATTTTAATTCGGAGATATGGAATTTCAAACTTGCGGTTTTCGGATTCTAAGGGGCTAATGCATTGGAATGCCCCCTTAGAATTTGTGACGTCAGCGGAGATCTAACGATTTTAAATCTTAGACTAAAACCATCGTTGACACGTGGTGGTATATGTACGCTGCTTTGCACGCAACGTCTGCCGCACTTCAAGGCTGCCAAATTATTGCTTCCAAATAAAGTCGCTAGAAACAGGAGAGATACTAAAAGTAAACAAAAGTAAAAGTATAATATCTTGAAAACCGGTGAATATTTTTCGGTGAAATTTGGGAAATATTCGTTTTCGCTCTTTCTGAACCGAGCGACATTAATTTCATGCCAATTCATTAACTTTTTTGAAGGTGGGAGGGTCCCTTTAAGACACCTACGAAAGCTAAGTTAGGGCCAAAGATCCAAAAACGTCATAATGGCGTATTGTTTTCAAGAGAGGGAGTTTTAACCCCCTGTGGCCGAGGGAGCGAATGCTGTCCACCTTTGACGGTTCTCTCATCAATGCTGGGGACGCATTGATGATAGAGTGCTGAAGCCGTAAAGTTATTACAATTTATAATAGTTGATTTATCTTGTGACATCAAATGAACTTGCATATAAGGTCACTTTACTGAACTAAGACGTCACGTAACTGAGCCTATCTAACGCTTAAAAATGTCACTATTGCGAAACGCCAAACAATAATTTACGGGGAGAACGTAGGGGAGAGTGGGTTAATTTGGCCGGTGGTGTAAATTGACCGCCCCCACCTGTACGAAAGCTGATAAAAGCGAATGAAATAACTTTAGTCTCTATTCATTTGTCATCGGCAGAACTAACTCGAGAACAAATGTCAAAACTTTGCCCCTCTTAGTAATAGTATTCAAAATTAATAAAACGTGAATTTCGTTAGAAAATGGCAACTTTAACCCTCGCACGACCAGGCCATTTCTCATAACACGAACGACCAGGGGGGGGTTGTTACGACCCCCCCCTGGCGTTTCGAAACGGAAGGTCGTAGAGCTTAGCGGAAAAAACCAACGGATTGCTCTCAACGAGATCTCGCGATTGGTGGTATATTTTTTGGTCCTAGGTCAACATTTGACCTACTTTTGACCGGTCAAAGGTCAAATTTTCGGAAAAATAGACTTTTTTCAACTTTCGGCGGCGATTGCGGCAAAATGGTGGGAGATATCGACTTGAAACCTTCACTATCGTGTTCCTTGATCAATTCTCTATCGTTTGGTATGTATTTCGTTTCCCTAGCTCTAAAAATGGCGCGTTGGGAGCGCCGGAAGTCGGCAAGGTCACAGTCGGCGGCAGAAATTCGAAAAATCAAAATTTAAATTTTTGAAATCTGATTGTATTTTTGGATTTGGGAGGTCCATTTGCTCCCTATAGAAGCTAATATTGCTGCATATTCCCATTGAGGTGACAAGAATTAGCAAAATAGTGGTTCGGGCGCTTTTCAAAAATAGTACCGGACGCTGTTCCTCTTGTGACGTCATAGCTCCGTGACCTGACCTGACCCGGTCAAATTTCTTATACCATATGATAGCCAATACTTGCCCCAACATGCATGGGAAGTTTCATCACGATCCATCAACCGATGTCCGTACCACCGGCAGGAAACCTCGGGCGTTGGCACTCAGTTTGTGAAAATCCGGCCGGAGGCTGTACCTCTTATGACGTCA